GGTCCAAGTACAGAACCTTGTGGGTATACTAACATACTACTAACATTACTCTCTTCACTCTTGTGGCGAGACCCTGGCGTTGACCTTTGACTTTTTACGTGACTGAAGATGCTGTAAGCAGCAAAGCTTCAGTCAACAGATTCATAGCTTTAGAATCAGATCATCCACCAGTTTGTGGTATATTTAGATCCATCCAGGGGTCAGTGTACTGATGTAGTTGCATCTACAATGTTAAAGGGGTAGCTGTGGCTCAGAAGTAGAGCGGGTCTTCCACTAATTGGAAAGTTGATAGTTCGATCCTCGGCTCCTCTTGCTGCATGACAAAGTGTCCTTGGGCAAGACACTGAACCCTAAATTGCTCCTGATGCTGTACATCGGTGTGTGTGAATAATTAGCTTCTGTTCTGGTGAGCAGTTGGCACCTTGCATGGCAGCCATCAGTATATGAATGTGTGTGAATGGGGTGAGTGTGGCTGTAGTGTACAGCGCATTGAGTGGAGTAGAACAGCGCTACAGTCTATTGACCATTTAAAAATGATTACCTACTCATATAGGTAATCTAATCTAACCTTAACTGCAACCCCACCAGCCCCCACAATGTTAACCTTACCCCTCCCTCTCTCTCTCTCTCTCTCTTTCTCTGTCCACAGCCAGACTACGTGCAGCCTGTGGTCGCGGTACAGTTGCTGTTAACAAAAGAAGACTATAACGTTGAGCAGACAATAGAGTGTAAAATCGAAGGTACAGATCTGCGTAACAATGATGACCGGGACAGGTTTATGGGTCGTGTCACTTTCCGCGTCAAAGTGTTGGAGTAACCAGACCCACCAATTGCCATGGATACCACAAACTGATTTAAACTGGAAACAAATCTCCAGTTCTGGACATACAGACCTGATCTAATCCTGGACGTCTGAATCTGGTTTATTCTGTTTAGACTCTTGAGGAAACCAGATCTGGACCACTGACAGCTAAATATGGCTATTCTGCCAGAACCCTTTAGATGAGATCCTGGTTCAGTCCTAATTTGGTTTACACCAGGTTAACCCTAACCCTGCTTCAGATGTTGTACTTTGTGGTCTAGATCTGCTGCTGAGTAGAACAAACAGAAACCAGAGTAACTCTGGTTGAGCCTGTTCAGACAGTTTAAGAAAATCAGGTCTGTAGTGGAAGCATGTGAGCCAGCTGCACAATGACGTGTTGTGTTTAGATGTATGTATAATAGTGATGTAATAAAATAATAATATGATCCCAGCAGTCTGTAACGGAGCAGTGCAGCAGAAATCAGTCCAGATTTTATTATAAAACTGCTGGTCAATAATCAGGTAACTGTCCTTCCACTCTGAAACCTTAATGCTACAGGAACTGCCTTCACAAGATTGATAATGCTTCATTGAAGATGTGATTTTTCTCATTTTTCAGTGGTAACCAGATTAAAAGTTTAGTTTTGCAGCATAAACTTGGACCATGTAAACGTTTTAATAGCCTGTAAATGACCATAGAGACTTATTGTGATTACTCAATCCGCTTGCTGAGGTTTTCTGGGACTCATTTGACCACGTATCTTTTGTAGTGTCAACTCTAATAAGTCTAGGCCCACATTCAAGGACACAGAAACATGCAGTCTGATTGGATCTGATTTGTGTTCTTTTACCTGCAGAGATCACCAGCAGGTGTTTGTGAACAAACTGGTATTACTAACTGTATTATCACCAGACTCCCTTAAAACAATCCTATAATTCTAAGAGGAGTTGACTGAGGAGAAACTAAACTGTTTGAAACGATGTCTATGGCGGTTTGTTGTTTATTAGGGCCTTCTTGTAAATTGGGGAAACATAACACATCAAGTTATTTCTTTCTTAGTGTAGGGTTAGGGTGTAGCCTGGCAGGAAAGACAGTCTGTGGTGTGAGCAGGAAGTACACTTTTACTCTTTGGCATTAATGCCTTTCTTCATAATCATTTGTGAGGTGAAACTTTAGATTTCCATACAGTCAGAGGAAGTAAAAGTGTGTGCCCTGCTCATAAAGTTCAGTTATAAAATAATAATATATAACAAAGAGTGTCTCAACTGTATGGCTGCTGACAGTACAGATAAAACCCTCTGATGTAGAGTTTATTGTGGTGCAAGTGAGATCTGATCACTGATGTTCTTAAAGCTGTCCACTTTTGATCTGATCCCCCACGATGTTAATAGCAGCTGTAAACAGCCTAAAAGTCCAGACCAGAACAGTTCAGTGTAACAGCAGGGTGGTATGACCGTAATCTGATTATTGATTGGCTGCGTGTAATTGTTTTAAAATTGAACAATATTGCAACTGATTCAAAACTGCCAAAAGAAAATGTATTATGTCTGCATAAACCTTTCATAGATGGTTTAGGGTTAGTAAATTCCACCTGAATGCTAATGCTAGTCTGCAGTTTAAAAGAAACTGTTGTCCTTGTGTCACATGAACTGTAAAAAACACTGTAATTGGGTCAATTATTGTTAATAGTAATGATGATAATGATAGCGCCCTCTAGAGGATTAAGATTGCACTGTGAAGCAGAACGCTCTACCTGCTGGGACCCCTACCCACCACCACTGACCCTTGACTGCTCAGGTCCACTTGGACGCTGGTGTCCTTTCACCTTATGAATCTCTCCGTATTGATGGTTTTTCATCCGTCATCATGTCAACACAAATATTTGTCAGTTTTTCAGAGTAAAGACTTTGAAATATACTTTATGAATATGTAACCCCAACTGTACAAACAGATGTTGCAGTTTTTTAAATGTGAATTTGAGTGTGATTCCAACAACTAGTGTCGCGTGAATATTGAACAAGATTACATCATCAGCAGAAAACCAATCAGTCTTCAGTAAATCAGTTTCATCATCATGTCTTCGTGTTGTTTTAATTGTTTCTATCCTGAATGAATGAATTGTAGTTTTATTATTTATGTTTATGTCTGCTGAGGGAACTGGAAACAAGATGATGAATGATCTAATGCTACAAATAAAACATAAAGATCTTGTAATGTCATAATTTATTTTAAAAAATTCTTTCCATCACTGTTACACATGTATTTATGTATACAATAAATTTCACACCACAGCATTGCACTGTTAAGATGTCAATAAAGTTAATTGGATAATAACCAGGATGGCTGATTGGGCATCAATCTATAACTTCTGAATGGTAACAGACAGAGCCATCAAATTGGGTGATGTGTGATGGCCTCTTAGTCATATTTGCAAAGTGGGACCCTTAAGCATCAGGAATTCTGGTGGGAATGAAGATTTTGAATCTGCAGTGTCAGAATTATATGCACTGCCACTGTTCCAAACTGCAAGGCAACTACCTTTCATGTTAAATCTGGCTCACAGATGCACTAAACAATAACTTCTCTTGCTGCTCGGCCACCTCAACTAACCCATCGATATCCTACCCCAAGGTTGATCCTTCTTGTCACACCCCCTTTCCATGACCTCCTATGTCCCATCTCTCCACAACCACGTCACACTGAACAACGTATGCAAAATGGAGCTAGAATTATGGCAGCAATTGCTCTCATCCTGGAAGGGTATTTCATTCTTTTATGACGACCACATCACCAATTTACCATTTCTATTCGTTTTTAACAAACTTAAATTTATCACATCAAAATCATATATTCAAAATAATCATATTCATTCATAAATTCTCATACCAGTGGCGTCTTTATTTGATCCTTGAGCTGAGTCTTGCGTCTAGTGTCCGTGATGTGCAGCCTTCTCTTTGTTTTGCCAAGAACACCGACTTTTCCCATGGGTTGTTTTTAATTTTCTGAATGAATGATTGGTGCGCTGGTTTAATTGCTGCGCCAGAAACTGAAAGGAAACTTAGGTCCATTTCCTCCAGCCACTTTCCATTCGTCATAAAGCCTTTTTCCTGAGTTTAACTCAACAGTCAAGAAGGTATGTTAGGTACCAGGTTAAAGAGTCCCAGTATTTTCCTTTATTAGGCCTAGTATATGGCCCCCCTGATAAAGCCTTGACACACCCTCTAGCCATCGCACTGTTTTCGACGTGACGT